TACCAAACGGACGAGGGTGAGGTGGGCTTGAAATGTACCAAACGGACCATGGGGCAGGAGCTGGGGGCAGGCTTTTATGATTTATAAGTACACGTGTTAATTCTTCTTGTTTACATGTACCTGAAAATGGGCATTTTGTCTGAAGTAGTTGTCCTTTATCACTCCTTCACCTTCTCATGCTGTTTAATACCCTTGATTGGACAGCTGCTGCTGAAAGAGGTTGCATTTCTCACTAGCATGCCTTAAATCAAATTCTGGTGCAAAAATCAACATCAAAGATGCAAAACGTAAATAGATTTTTGAGGGATTGATAGTTATACAGTTTTTTTTTGAAAGATTGCCCCCTCCTGTCCACCTCACCCCAGCCTTGAAGAGGGTCGTAGGTGTGGTGATTTAGAAATATTTATACGTTAATGAAAAATTCTTGTGCAAACTTGATTACTATTTAGTATTAATGTTGCGTTTGGGGATCAGTTGTTTGCTTTCGCAACTTTTGATTTTGTTTTGCGTCCCTTGTTTTTTGTTTTGTCCAATGTTTTTGTCATTTATCTATCTCAAGCATTTAGGGCAGAAATGTCAGGCTTATTGTGCTGCAGTGTATGTAGCATGTAAGACAAGATAAAAGAATTTGTATAGGAGCCTTCTCTCTTTAGGAGATATTTCAGGTAGAATGAGATTATATTGGGCAGTTACTCTTGTAATGTGGGCAAATGGGATTTAGTCAGAGTGAGGTTCTACAAATGGCAACGCAATGAATAGTCCATTAATGTGACTTGTTATTAATTGGGTGCAGAATTTTGTTCAGAACTCTTGAGAAAACAATTTGAATATTCCACAGGATTTCCAATCACCCGAGTCCCGTACCACAGATTTTTTTTTTTGTTTTAATCAATCTATAATCTGAAGAACTGAAACTTCCAATAAAACATCTTCAATGATATACATATTTCACTCGGATCCCAGAGCCTAAACCTTCTGCCTCTGAGGCAAAGATCTTTTCAATTTTATCTCTTAGTTAAGGTCATAACAATCGTTCCTCTCTTTGTAAGTGTGCATTTGATGAGTTTTCTTCCTGTATGGAGCAATACATGCAGCTAGGTACTGGTAAAAGTCAGTTGTAACGGTACAATAGTTTAGAAATTAGGTCAAGAGTGTGTCATGATTTCAAGATTGAGCTAAGGCTTTTGTGCATTTTTTATGCCATCTGTGGTTGTTAGCTTTATGAAGCCTTTAGCACAATAACATGGTGCTTCTCCAAAAAATCAGACTCATTTTTGGTTGTTTTTGTTGAAGCACAAGAGATTTAATCAAACAATATGAAAAACAGTCTATTTATTTAGTTTTAAATTGACCCTTTTCTGGTTTAAAGTCCACCATACATTATGCCCCACTTAAAAAAAAATGCATACCTAATTAATTATTCCAGAGCACAGATGGTGCTAAATTGCCAGTTGCTTACATTGGGGAGGGTGATAGCCTGGAAAACAAGTGCCTGTCCTCCATTTGGAATCTTGTCTTGCCCCTGCCTTTCCATGCAAGAAAAGAAATTGGCTGAAGATGAGAAATTGCCTCCATAGTCTTCATCTGTAAATATCAGAAGTTTTAATGACCAGTCAGAATTAGCGTTAATTTGTGTATGAGTTATTTTTGAATTGGCAGTATTTTTTCTGGCTGTGGATGACATTTAAAATAAGCATGAAGAAATGTGACCTGCTTCAAAATAAAAATTGTCTTTCGTATTACGAAGATTTGGATTAGCATGTAATGCATGTTTTTCCCAGTAGGTATGTGTGGGAGCAAATGAGCTCTTTCATCAGATGGGGTTTTTGACCTTTCATTGAAGCAATCCAATCCAAAGATATAAATTCCACACTTTGTGGATGCTGGGTGCTCTCTCTTTGACCTTTGTGTAGCCTTCAACATGGTCAACCGTATCGTCCTCCTTTTGACTTTTTCCTGTGTTGTCCAACTTGGTGGAAATGTCCTCACTTAATTTCACTCTTGCCTGTCCAGTCATAAATGAATCTTGAGCAAAAGTTTCTCTTTCTGTTTATTTCCATTGTCTCTCAAGTTCCCCAAGAATGTGCAGCTGCAGGCTGTTCTTTAGTTGTGCAAAGTGGAGCTGTTACCAAACTAATGCCAATATTGACTCCTTTTGTGCCCTCTATTAACATTGTTATTGAACTACTTGATTATTATTCACTCCTGGATTAACTGCGATTTTCTTCAGTTAAAACATGGAAAGAATGAAGTCCTGCACCTGATAAAGTTGATTTTCATCCGTCTTTACAGCCCTGTCCATGGCCACAGTTCCATGCTGATCCAGACTGGATGAAATATTTTCATACACATTTGACTTTTGTTTTTGCCCATATATCCTCCAACACAAATTCTTGACTTCCCATCTTGGTTAGATCACCTATCTTTACCTGCAGGCTCCAATTTACCCAAAACTCTGCCTATCCTGTTCCAGTCTTATTCACATTACCTACCTGTTCTTGTTAGCCTGTATTGGTTCTTGATTTCCCTCTCCATTTCTCCATGTCTCCCTTTTTGTAATTTGATTCTTATATTTAAATCCCAAACTGGTGTTGTCTGTCCTATCTCAGTAGATTTTTAAAGCTCAACTCTGTTCATCTGTATTACAGTCTTTTATGCAGGCTGTTCTCATTTTGCATTGTTGGCCATGTCATTAACTGCCTGGGCCCAACTCTGGAATTCCCTCCGTAAAACTTGAACTTTTATTTCTTATCATTTTGTCAAAAAACCTTGGTCACCTTATCAGAACGTCCTCCTTTGTCTCAGCATCTATTTTCATCTTTTACTGAATCTCTTAGACACTTTTCCCCCCACGTTAAAGTAGCTGTATAAATGCAAGTTGTCTTTATGTTAGGTTAGGTTATAATTATACTGCAAATGGCCAGCCCTACAAAATAGAGGCTGTGGAGAAAGAAATGCAGAATGTTTGTTTCTTAACATTGGGTTGTTTGAGTAGCTTGTTCACTTGGTCTGGGTTTTCGCTTATTTACATACCTCGGCACTGCTTCCTAAACTGTATTGACTGCCTGTCATTTCAAGACTCAATTTTGACAATGTTGCCTTTTAATCCATTAAAAGTGAAAAATAGTTACTTATTTACTACCCGTGTGCAGTTGGTTTGAGGACAGTATGCATACTTTAATTGGCACAGACTTGAAGCAGATCAGGTTCTGATTAAGGAGAGGAGTTTAATGCAATCTCATGGAGATGATGTACTATCCCCTCTTCAATTTTTCATATCCTGGGTGGTGGGATAAGGATTAATTTTGGTTGTCGTGTAGCATCCTGTATTGGCTGCTACTGATTGTGAAGATAATTAAAAGTTCAGCTATGTTTGCAGGGATGTTGCTGCTGCAAGGTAGGTGGAAAAAGAAGTCATCAGACCATCCTTGGTCATTTTGGTTATGGATTTAATCAAAGATTTAGTAAATGCTGTGGGATCTGTTCAGCACAATTGACTGAGAAATCCAAGAAAGGAACAAATGACAGAAAAGTTTAAACAGATTAGTGAATCTTTTGAAGTTGTAATTTCCTTTTTAAGTGATTTTTGTTTTTACTACAAATCCAAATTATCTCTCCACATGGTTACTGAAATTAATTTTCTTAAAGTTGGAATTAATTCTCTTTTTTTAAACTGAATTTTAGTCAGCTTGTGTGGTACAAAACCAGTTTGGCCCAGCAAAATAATGGTGGCCAAACAGAGAATCCGGATGGCAAACGAGAAACACAGTAAAAACATCACACAACGAGGGAATGTTCCCAAAAGTTCGGTAAGTTTTAGTCTTTGTGTCTCTGTGTGCTGTAAAATTGAACTAAATCACTTGTCTTTTTGCCCTGTGGAACTGCTTGATTTATGGCTAATAATAAATTAAGCCTCAACTAAATTTACCTCTAACATGGTTCAATAATTAGATTGCCCAACTAATAATTGGGGCTTCAAGAGAATTAATTTCTTTCCCCTTCCAAACCCTATCTCAATAGGGACTTTATGCTGCACAGAAAGCTTCAGGCTCTGCTAAAGTTCTGTTAAATTTTTAGTGCCAGAAAATTTGAAATTAAAAGCCTTTTAAAGTCTGTTCACTACTCCTAGTTTTAAAAAAAAATTCAGTTCCCATTTGTGACATCATTCCCTCCCTTGCTCTGATTTTCAGTTTCATTTTTCGACAGTCTTTCCAAATTCCTCGCCATATGAATTGATTAGCCTTTATGAGCCACTGATGATCCCTGAGCTCGTATACTGTTCTGTGTGGTAATGTCAGTATTTCTGTCTTAATTGATTGAAAGCTTAATGATGCCTCCATCAAAATAGGGCAATGATGAACCGATTGGAATCTTCTACTTGTGTTTATCGTTATCAGTTGAGCTACTGTGCTGTACTACTTAGCTAATCTGTGTATTTCAGTCATAAGAAGCAATGTTATGCTTTCTGGTTATTTAGGACCTCATCATTTCAAACTTACTCACTGAAATAACTGATGCTGGATATGTTTGTGAAGTAATGAGTAGCACGTTTGTCATTCCAGAAAACAACACCAGATGAAAAATCATCAGTTGGTCCCTGGCTATTGGCACTTTTCATTTTTGTTGTTTGTGGATCAGGTAACTTTTAATATTTTTCAAGTCGTTTGTTTAAATCAACATTGATGTTGTGTGTAATATAGCATAATTGAGAATACAATCTGGCTAAAACCGCCATCATGAGTCTTCAATAGTGAAGATAAGCTGCTTCAAAATGCTTAATGATATTGATGGCTCGTAGATGATTAACGTGTTTGTCTTGGATAATGCACTTTACAAAATGTAATGTAAGGAGTCATTTGCCATCCCAGAACCTGAGTATTGCTGGAAAAAGATATGTTGAATTGTAGCTTCTTGTTTGGCATTCGTTGCGACATAATTTTGAAAAATATCAATTTGAAGATAAAAACTAAGATTCGTACTTGATAGCAACTTAAAACCTGACATTTGACTGTCAATCTTAATTGGTGCATTTTTTCCATGGCAGCTATTAAAATCCACTGCTGTCAGCACACAACCTCGACTGAATTGGCCTGAGGAGTTGGGTCAAAGTGGCTATGGTGTTTTTGTTTTGTGTGGGGAGGTGGCATTGGCCTTTGCTTTTAAACACTAATTAACATGACGTAAAACTGGCACAGTCTAAGGATGTGCTAGCACTGACGTCACTGCGCACATAACGTGGCAAAGCCAGCAATATGCTCATGGTGGTATCCTGAAGTATGTCACATTCAGCTGGCATCACTACTGTCTGCCCATGTGCAGAGGCTAGCGGCCATTTGGGTGAGTGGTGTAATTTCTCAATTTTTTGCAGTCATTTTTCAGGCAGTTTGCCTTTAAATCAGAAATTGATGTCCAGTAAATAATAGAATTAATTTGTTTTGATTTAATTGAAAATCAGACTTTCTCATGTCTTGCTTGTTCTTTAAGATTGATTTTTACTTCCCACACCACCACCACCACATTTTTTGGATATCTTGGCATCATTTTGGTTTGTTATTTCCTCGCCCCTTCAGTTGACTTTTCTTCGCCCCATACCCGGTTTCATTTATCTTTTTTTTTGCTATGGCTCCTCATTTGAAAGTGCCTGAATGTTGAAGGCACGGATTCTTGCCTTTCCTCTCATGCTGAAGCCCTGACGTCAATATCTGGATTGTAGCTGAGTGTTTGAGGTTTGCATTCCTGATGGAATTCATTTGATGAAAAGCTTGGCTGGTTGAAGCTATCTTCCATCACTTGGGAGCAGCTAACATGTTTATAACAGCCTGGGTTTTGATTTATCCTTTGTGAATTGGACATACATGCACAGTCATCCTTTTCAAGTAGGTGCCTGAATCATAGCTGTCCTAGAACAATTGGTTCAGAGCACTGTCCTCTGAGGGGGAAAGGTTGAATGGAGTGGTCAGGGATTGGTGTTGGGCACTCACATAGAATGTTTCACCATAGTGAAAGGCATTCAGCTCAACAAGTCTTCTTGCTCCATAAGATCCTGCACTCACTCACTTTGATCACTCAGCATAACATAGTCCTTGCTGTTTCATGTACTAACCTAGCTTCCCCCAGTGGCATCTGTTATTTGCTTTTTACTGTTAGTTAGCCAGTTCTACATTCTCACCATCTCTAAAAGAAGTTTCTCAGCAGTTCCTTATTGAGTTTGTTAACGTAGATAATCTGCTATTTATGACTTTATAGTTTTGGGCTTTGTTTTTTCTTGCTTATTTACATAAGTGACCTGGATTCCAAAATTATCAAATATCCTGGGAATGTATTAAATTGGGGTGGAGCCTGCGGGCTCATGACAGACCGAGACAATCTCTAAGTGGATAGAATAGGTCAGGAGAAATCAATTTGTGCACTATAAGAAAAATAACATTTGAGAAATCAATCATGATGATTAGTCTAGTTGAGAGAATGGAAGAGATCTGGAATATATTGACTAACCAGTCATGGTGAAGCAACAACAAAAACAGAAGTTGCTGGAAAAGCTCAACAGGTCTGGCAACATCTGTGAAGAAAAAAATCAGAGTTAACGTTTTGGATCCGGTGACCCTCCCTCAGAACTGAAAGGTCGAGAGTGTGCATGTGACGCTGCGTGGCTCTGAGTGCGCATTTTGGGATGCGGTGAGCGCAGCTGACTGTGGAGCATTGAACGTCACGGAGATATCTGTGATCCTGGGAGGATTCAAAACATGAGGGGTGAAACTTCAGTTGGAATCCACGTGGGGTGAGTCTGAGCCGGAGGCAGTCACCCGAGGAATGTGATATGGCAATAGAAATGAATTTTAGCAAATACTCGGTCAAACACCAGGAGTGAGAGTGAAATTAATGTCGGTGGGCAAGAAGAAAGATTGGAATGGAAATCCTGTCGGAGAGAGGAGCAGAGCTTCTTCAAGGTGGGCATGCCTAAAAGAGATGTGGCAGTGAATTAATACGAAACAAAAATGGAAAGAACTGCAGATGCTGTAAATCGGGAACAAAAACAGAAGTTGCTGGAAAAGCTCAGCAGGTCTAGCAGCATCTGATATGAACAAGTCAGTTAACATTTCGGGTCCGGTGACCCTTTTCATTTAGCGGTGAAGCAGCAGTTGTCAAAGCAAACAGAATGCTGAGTGTATTACTGAGTGTATCTTTAATCTCAAAGCATTTCATGGGAGTGGCGTGCAGTTTTGACTGAGACATTTTACACATGGGGATAGGTGATCAAACATCTGGTCATAGTGGGAGCTTTTAGACTTTAAGATATTTCTTAAAAGGGAAGAGTTGGACAATCATAACTAATATATTTCCGAGTCCGGATGGCTTTACTTGGAGGAAATCTTACAAATGGTATAGTTCCCATGTATCTGCTGCTCTTGTGCTGCTGCTACTGAACATCAGTGGTGGAGGGAGCGCATGCTTGTGGATGCGATGCCACTCAGTGAGTTGCTTCGTCCAGGATGGTGTCAGACTTCGTCTTGTTGAAGCTGCACTCGTCTGTGCAAGGCAGAAGCATTCAATCACACTTCTGGTCTGTGCCGTTTTAGATGGTGGATAGGCTTTTGGAAGGTAGGAGGTGAGTTACTTGTCAATTAAATTAACTGAGAGGCTTGCTTCATCCAAACATTTGTTCTCTATAACATTTTGTAACTGAATTAGGAGAGCTGATTAGAAATCTTTTTTTAATGTTGCATTTGTTGCCATTTGGCTCCTGAGTTTTGCCATGTTGGATTGCAACATGACCTTCAAAGACACAAGTTAAAAAAATTTGGCAAGATGTCTGAAGTACCTTTATTTTTTAAGCAGGCTGCTTGTATATTTGATATATACATCTTTCTCTTGCTAGGCAGTAGTGTGAATTATTTTGGTGCAAGTGACATGCCAAGAGGAGTCTGGTAAGCATTAGGTATAGTTAGTATCAGGTATAGCCCAGTGAAGATGTTTGATTTTCCCCAAAGTAATATTTTGAATCTGCTTGCTAAATGTAAAATTGTTACTGGTCAAGGAACAAATTGGTCCAGTCTAGGATTACTTATAATTAAATCAGGTACTACACTTTACACTTTAAGTATTAACTTGGTAAATATTCCACATGACCTGTTGCTTTTAACACGTTGTTATTCTCTTAGTGTGACATTTAGCCATGGTATTTTTAAGATGCTATTGATGTTCTCAAAATATTTCCTCATATTTTGAAAATTAACTACCAGTACTATCTCATGACAGATCTGGTGAAGCTAATTCAGCTTCCTCCATTCCACATTGCTGCAGTCTCAGATTCTGCTCCCCTTTTTTCATGCAGAAAATGCACTCTTTCTTGAATGTAAGACTGGGCTGCTCCTGCTCCTTGCACCAAATTCTGTTCGTTGTGCAGGTGTGATCTGGATGAGTCAAAACCTGTGGAAACAGACCCTTTGGTTCAGTCTCTCTACATTGGGGAAACGATGTGTAGACTGGATGACCGCTTCATAGAACATTTACATCCTCCTCGTAAAAAAAAAAAGACCCTGAGCTTCCAGTTGCCTGCCACTTTAACACACCACCCTGTTCCCTGGCCAACATCTCTGTCCCAGGCTTGCTGCAGTGTTCCAGCGAAGCTCAGCGCAACTTGGAAGAACAACACAATATCGAGTTCAATAATTTTAGGGCTTAAATCTCCCATGTCCTGGCCCCTACCCGACACACCAGGCCTTGTTATCACATAGCCTACCATTACACTACCCCTATTGTTAGTCACTAAAAATCCACATTAACAGCTATTCACCCTCCTAGCTAGGTTGTTGTCAACTTCTTTGTCTGTCCAACTGCTTTTCTCTCTCTTTGGGCTCTATCCTTTGTCCTGTCGTTTACTCCCTACCCCACCCCTCTCCCTTTTTTCTGCATATAAATTGATGTTTTCTTAGCTACCAGCAGTTGTGAGGAAGGGTCACTGGACCAAAATGTTAACGCTGAATTTTTTTTTCTTCACGTACTGCCAGACCTGCTGAGCTTTTCCATTGACTTCTGTTTTTGTCCCTGCAGTTCAATTGGTCCGTGCTGACCGTGCTCCCAAACTAAACTAGTTCTACCTGCCTGTGTTTGGCCCGTATCCCTCCAAACCTTTCCTGTTCATTAACTTATCCAAATGTCTTTCAAACATTATAACATACCTGCATCCACCACTTCCCCTGGCAGTTCATTCCACGCACTAACCACACTTTTTTTTTAAAAAAAGATTGCCCCTCATGTCCTTTTTAAATCTTTCTCCTCACCTTAAAAATGCCATCTAGTGTTGTACTCCAACACCTTAGGGAAAAATCTTTGCTATTCACTTATCTATACCCCTCATGATTGTATAAACCTCAATTAGGTCACCCCTCAGTCTCCTACGCTCCAATGAAAAAAGTCCCAGCTTATTTTTTTATAACTCAAACTCTCCATTCCCAGCAACACCCGAGTAAATCTTTACTGAACACTGTCCAATTTAATAATATCCTGCCTATAACAGGGTGATCGGAAATGTATACAGTACTCCAGAAGAGGCCTCACCAACCTCAACGTGGCATCCCAACTCCTATACTCAAAAGGTCTGAGCAATGAAGGCAAGCATGCTAAATATCTCCTTAACT